GATGAGCGATTGTCATGTAGCTTTCTTATGTCACTTGTAATTGTCGAGATAAAGAATAAGATAAGAATTAATACGCGCCCACACGGAGTTTGCGATCTAGCGACCTAGCGTCATCGTCGCACAAACAAAAACAGATTTTTGGATGTGTGTTACCTGTAACGATCGTGTGTTTGCAAACCTCTGAGGCAGTACAAACAGTAAACTGAAAAAGTTCAACTGTAATTTTAGAACACGCCGTGGAAGTTTGCTTGCTTTATTAGCGAGACCGTTTCCCGAACGTGGAAATGATCGAACTCAAATCTCTTTCGTGAATCCAGCGTGCGGCGTAACCCGACGTAATTGTAATTCGTTTTTGTCGAGGCAACTGCTGATATTGTAATTATTGGTGTTCAAAAGGACCGAACGGGACGCATTGAAAGTCCGACGATAATCGAGTCTGACGTGAAATAATCTTATATCCATATATCCAATACCTTTACATCATTTATTAATTATTAAATTAGTGCATTACTGACGTTACACGCGTAACTTTATCAACAGTAGCTAGTGTATTATTCAAATACGTGCGCCTATTAACGATATTGATTTCACGAGTAAATATTTTAACGGGATTGCATATTAATCGGTGTCATCGCGTGCATGCGCGACTTAATCGTATTACCGTAGATTAACATCAAATAAGATTAATTAATTTCTTCTGCCGGTTAATCATATTACACTCGATTTGCATATTTTCTTAGCACACTGAAAAACAACTTTCCGCCACCGTAGCTAATCATGATTTGCTAAAAATATAAATTTCTAAACCACAGCAAACGGTTTGCTGTCGCACCTAATACAATAGACGCAGTAGCAAAGTATTAGCCGTCACAACTAGATATTAGTTGTCCATATTTTACAACTGAAATTTAGTTGCCACATGCAATTTTTAGCTACGGTAGCTACAAATTTTTTCATGCTGAAAAAACAATTTCGCTGTCGCAGCTAATCGCCGTTTGCTAAAAATATTTTACTGCATTAACTATAAATTTTTAAACGACAGCAAACGGTTTGCTGTCGCACAATAGACGTAATTAGCTACCATAACTAAATATTAGCTGTCCATATTTTACAACTGAAATTTACCACATGCAGTTTTTAGCTACGGCAGTTACATTTGTTTTTCGTGCACCTCGTTCATGGGATCAGTGTAAATTTTTTTCGCCCAGAGATTTTTTAAATTACTTTAAAGTCGATCTTGCCTTGATGAAAATTTCTCAAGAGATAGCTGAAATCCATCCTTTCTCACAACTTTACAATTCGCTGTTTTAAATACGCTTGTTATAGACGCAACTAGTTTCGCAATCAAAATTTTATTTAGTCGAAATTAATTGTGGAATAAAGCAAATATAAATTTCGCAGAGAGAAATTCTTGTTATCTATTTGTAACCTAAAGATTAGGATATAATTTTCTACTCGAATTACAGCTATCTCGACGTTTTCTTAGATGGCGATTTAACTCGAAACGCAAGTTTAAAGATAAACATAACTGTAATTGCTTTCTCTTCTTGTTTCCAATTTATTTTTCAATTATTTTGAGCACTGTTCTATCCGCATTCTGCTTCGAAATAACCTTTATCGTACAAAAAACGTATCCATGTAAAGCTACTTATATCCTTACATTATTTAATCTGTTCTATGTCTTTTTAATCTGCTCAAACTTTACATGTTTGAATCCTTACGATTCTGCTCTTTTTCCCACGTTGTCTCTTACCGAATTTTCATCTTTAAAGCCTTGCGTCCCCTAGTAGCACAGTGCATTGGATAAACATTGGCCCAATATTTGGTTGTATTGGGCCAATGTTTAACCAATGTTTCGCCAATGCACTGTGCTACTAGGGTCCACGATCCAAGAACTGTGCCCAAGTTCTAGTCCCGGAAAATCTTTTACGGAAAAACTGCAAGTTGATTGGCTATAGTAACAACGAATGTCCCAAGGACTTTCTGCGAGTCACGAATCGCGCATAGTGTGACGCCAGCTTAAGACAGACGGTCTCTAGACGTCGCAGATCGGTCATTAACATCGAGACGAATGTCGCTTCCGTTCTCGTACGGTTCCCTTCGAGGAACCGATCGATCACGCCGCGTCTCCCCGGCGCTAATCGGCGCCAATGATCGCCGGGCCGAACAGAATCCTCTGTTCGCGGGACGGTAATCCGATCCCGATGCTCGCGTTCCTTGGCGCGGCGCGGCGCGGCGCGGCCGAATCGGCGAGCGTGCCGGGACATGTGACCCCGCGGGATCCAGCGAGCACGCGCACTGGCGACGCGCGGCGCACTCCCGCCGCGCCGCTCTGGCACGTGGCCCGTGCCGCCCGCGATCGCTCAGTATCATTCGCGCGACCGATAAGTGACTCAAGCGACTCGCTCACGCGTGCTTCCGTGGAACGCGCAGAGACAAGGCGAAGGCCGAAAGGGACGAAGGAAAGTTGCCGGGACGAACGACAGGTCGGTGAGTCCTCGAGGGATCCTCGAACGATCCTCCGAGTTGTTTAAACTTACGCGAGGGAGGGAGAAAGAGGGAAAGAGAGAGCGTGGGCGTTCAATTTGTCGCTACATACACGGAAGCTGTTCTATGCGCATTTCGCTCGCGCGACCACGTGCACCCGGAATGCGCGAGACGCGGCTCCGCGGCTAACGGGATATTCCGCGAGAAACGCGGCTCGTCGAGGAACAGCGACGGCCGATTACGCGTGGAGAGAGAGAGAGAGAAAAAGAGACGGAGAGGTTCCTTCGCGCGGAGGAGTGGCACGCGCTATCGGAGATAAATCGAACCTCGACCGATTCCCCTCCGGTCTCCTCTTTACGGCTTCGAACGTAAGAGAACAAACGAGGCTGATCGCTAATCGCGGTGATCGAGACGATTCGGCGGGCCGCGTCGTCGACTCTCGAGAGATAAACGGCGCTCTGTGCCCTTGCTCCGAAAAATCGGTACGCAAAATCGGTTCGGCGAACGAGCCCGTCCAATCGCGTCGTGCCGCCGCTCGTTCGCCGATCCGGCGGTTTCCCGATCGAGGAGAGAAGGTATCGGACTTCCCTCGCGACATTGTTACGTGGCCGTTGAAGGAAAGTTCGCGATCGTTAATCGGCAACATATGGTCCGCGACGTCCGAACGGCGGACTTGCCGCGCGATCTCCGGGTAAACAGTGCCGCGCACAGCGGCGCTTTATTTTTTCTGATCTCGCCCGCGTGAAAAATGCATCTCGCGCGATTAGATATCCCAGGTTAGATCATAGATCGGTCGTCCTGTCGACCGGGAGGGGAAAAAGAAATCGCGCAGAAGCAGCGTCGACGCGCAAAACAAGTGTCCGCGTCGAGTTTCAGCCGTTGGATCAATTGTGCGCGCGATTATCGGCTCCCCCGGTGAATTTTCGCGCTAAACGCCGCGGCAGGTAACCGTCGTGTGTCTTATTTACATCGGTTTAACCTCTGCCTTTTTTTGCCACGGGACCAGCAGCGATGGAACCGTGCGTCTAGGCAGAATAAACATAACAACGTTCGACCTCGGCTTGTTTTCCCGACCTTCGCGTTGCTTCGGCGACTTTGTAAGCTGGCATATCGGAGCGAAGGTCTCTTTTACGGGCGGATTTTATTATTTTGTTAAATCGAAATTCAAGACTCGCGTCAGATTCAACGGCGAATAGAAGCGCGTGACCTGCTCGCGCCTCTAAATTTGTGAAAATGTCGAGTTATCGACGCCGGCTCGGTTTAACGGAGATGGATCGAAGCCTCCGCAGCTTGCCGATATTTTCAAGATTTGTGTAGCCAGAGACGAGCCAATCTCTCAGTGAGAACAGCGACGTCGAATCGACGTCGATACCCAGCGAGCACGGAACGTGGCAGCAACATTACGGCAATGTTGTAACACTGCAGAGCAACGTTACAGCAATGCCGCGACATTGCCGCAACGTCGTTACAATGTTCGTTCGAAACCGAAAATAGTTAAAAGTTCCGGAAAACTTAATCTTTTGTATTAAAATAAATTCGTGTCAAATAAAGCCAACTGCACGCGATACTATTTTTCTCTACTGGATTACTCACGAGAGCCAATCAGGATTTAGCTTTAAGTCACTTGATCGAAAACTCTGCATCCTGATTGGCTCTCGCAAGCAATCCAGTAGGAAAAACAGTATCGTGTGCCGTTGGCTTAAGTTGGCGGTTCTCTCCAGTAAGAATGATAAGAGTACTAGGAACTTGATACAAAAAATTAAGTTCCGAGGCTTAATTATTTTCCGAAAACAGAGACGTCGACTCGACGTTACAGGGCTACGAGGTTTTCCATATCCTTCGTTCCTTCTCCCGCGTCCACGACGCATCACAAACCCAATCGTGCGTGCGAAAAGAGAGAGCCCGGCTAAAGCCCGTATCGGACTACGGATTGCGATTGGGATTAGATTGAAATTTGACCAATCAGAGTAAAAGTTACTGAACTAGAGATTAGTAAACTTTACTGTGATTGGTTAAATTTCAATCTAATCCCAATCCCAATCCGTAGTCTGATACGGGCTTAACGCGATCGAAATTCACTGTTTAACTATTTCAACGTGACTAAAACGTGGGAGCGCGTGAACGGGTGCCTCGGTGCCGGTGATTAAGACGTTTGATACGCGGCGCGTTTCCACCGCATTCTTGTTATCAGTTCCCCGAGAGCTGCGAGTGAGCGGTGCCTCGGCGGCGGGATCTGCACAGAGATGCTAACTTTTGGGCCCAGCTCCATCAAAGTGTTACGCTCGGTGCTCACGCACGCACGCGCGCGCGCAACCACGTCCGTGTGCCGCGCAAAACGCTCTGTACAGCGCGCGGTTGCGCTTGTGTGTGTGTGTGTGTGCGTGCTCGGCCCCAAAGTTTGCATCTCTGGATCTGCGTGCGCGCGCACTATCTTTTGTCAGCATCGCGATAGGAGAGGACCGTCCACGTGGCCGTGGTCGCCGATCGTCGATTGTCACTCGCGTCGCGAAGAGCCCACGCGTCACGTCTCGTCTCTCTACGCCCGTTGTGCTCTCGCGTTTCCGCGCGTCGTTGCACGATTCGCGCCCGCCACGTTGCGAGTCGGCGTCCGCGGTCCTTGTAATCGCGGCGCACACCGCCTTTCGCGTGTCGTGTTCCGCATCGTTGGCGCACGTTATCCACGTATCGCGGCGTCGGGATCGTCGGGACCGTCGGAACCTGTGAACGAGGGAGAAGCGCGGCCGAACGTTACGCAGATCTGGGTAGAAAAATATCTCTCGTTCCCTTTTTCCGCGTCCGTGAGGCATCGCAAACCCGATCGTGTGTGCAGAGAGAGTGAAAGAGTGAGTGAGTGAGTGAGTGAGAAAGAGAGAGAGGGAGGGAAGGAGAGAGAGAGAGAGAATTTCGGAACTCTCGCCATTAGATCTACTCTCGCTATTACACGCACTTCTTTCCTCCCTTCGTAATCTGTGCTTGTTTCACTGTAATCGCGAAAGCGTATTTTGAAAAAAACTACCGAGTCGCTTTTCAAATGACGATTTTTTTTTATTCGATCGGAAAATAATCCTCCACCGAGGGTTCCATTGGATTCAAAATCGACTCGGAATTAGCTGCGGAACAAGGTTTTAACGATATCCGTCCGCGATGCGAAATCCGCTTACAACTTAGAAAGCTGCCGATTTCCTCTGGATTTGTATCGAGGAAAGAATCGATCCAACCGATCGGGGGGGGGGGGGAGGGGAGCTCGTGAACGAGGAGCGTCGACAACACGTTTCGACACGTGCGCTGCATTTCATTATTTCATCATCGTCCATCATGTTAATCGCGCTGGGCGGAAATGTGTTTGTAATCTTTGCGGACAATTAAAATTATTAATTTTGTGACAAAACTGCGTGTATCGACGATTTCTGGAAGCTTCTACGCGGCGATGTTTGGGGATGAAAATGGGGAGGGGAGGGGGCGTTCGATTAAACTTTATTCATTATTAGAAATGTCAATATATATGCGCTTTTTTTATAAATATTTAACTATAGCTATCTCGTCACCGACGAGTGAAATAAAACTCGACGTAAAAGTTGGGAGATTGTTTCGTAATTGCTTTTTTCTGTTTAATTAATCGAGGACTCGTCTCAAGAATTTCACCTAAAAGTTCGTGTAAATAATAAAAGAGATTAATTTGAATTTATTTGCGTAAAAACGGACGTTTGGCGGAGCGTGAGGCAAAGTGTTCTCGTACGCTCTCGGGTAATTCCAATTTCGGGATTTAACGGGTGGTCTCGCAAATCACCTAACGGCCGGAACACGTGGTAAATTTGCGGAAACTACGCGACGTGTCCCGATGGTCGCGAGCCAAGACGGGCGAGAAGGAAATATTTGTAATTGTGACGCTGCCCGGCGCGTATTCGCGAACGTCTCGATATTATCTCTCGTCAATTAGGCAGTGTTTATATTTTCGCGGAATGTGCTGCGAGCGGCTCAAGGCCGACGGTGACAAAGACCTGTTATCTATCGATCATACGCTCGTCGGCGACCTTGCTGGAAGTTTCCTTTAAAAATTTTAATTCGCGCAGTACAGCGCGAATTTTCCCGATCGTGAAATTTATCGAAACGGCCTTCTTGTGTAACACGGCGCTGGTTCTCTGGTCGAGTCCAAGGCGAGGGTAAACCGCTGACCAAAATCGTGTACACCGATGCCTACGAATGCCCAGTGGGCATTACTTAATTTTATTTTATTTTATTTACCCTGGCCGAGGTGATAATTTTTCGCAATAAATGTAGAATGAAATATTTAGACACTAACACACTCACGACTCTTGGTACGTTATTCCTTCAAATTTTTGTCTATCACGTTTGAACCATACGAATGTTATTAATTTGCCAATTTTATTTTTAACTTATTAAACAAGCGCCAAACCGGCGTAGGACAAGATAGAAAACGGTATATGAATTAACATTTTAGATTACAACTATTGGGCTATCAACGTCTTGCTCGAACCTAAAGGCGCTCTCGCTTGTTTGATTTATTTATCTTGTTTTATCTTATTTTATCTTTGTAATGCCCAAACTAATGTTCAAAAAAAGCCTAGTGATGCCGCAAATCTGTACAATGCTCTCAGCGGTTTACTCCTCGGGGCCAGGGCTAACCAATAGTCGTGAAATATCTTCTCTAGCTCTTGCCTTACACTGCTTTTTAGCTGTTTGATTTCAAGACACTATTAGTCGCCTCGAAACGCCTGCGTCCACGATGCTAGAACTTGGTCCAAGTTCTAGTTCCGAGGTAGCCAATCAACTTGCAGCTTTTATGGAATAGCCGCAAGTTGATTGGCTACACCTTAATCTTATTGTTAGTTTAATTCACGTTTGTCTCTTTCTAAAGTAACAGTTGGAAAGAGACAAAGAACGAATTAAACTGTTCTTAAAGTTAAGCGACGTTGGTGAAACCGGGCCTCAAGGCCTGTGTCCGCGATGCTAGAACTTGGTCCAAGTTCTAGTTCCGAGAAATGTGCAGCCAATCAGCTTGCAGCTTTTATGGAATAGCCGCAGGTTGATTGGCCACACATCTCTTGAAACTAGAACTTGGACCAAGTTCTAGCATCGCGGACGCGGGCGTCGTGGAAAACTAGCCGGATGATCTATTCGTAAGCGGGTCAACACGCCGTTACCGAAACGGCGAATCACTGAAAATTTCTATTCTAACGTAAAATTAATATTGCGTAAAATAATCGTAACGCCATACGGCAAGTAGAATGCGCGGTAACAATATTTTCACACCTAACAACTGCTTCCAGCGAAAGCCGGTAGCTCCTCTAATCTCTTCTGAATAAAAAAAATATCTCTTTATCAGACATCCGATAATCTGAAACGAACATTATCTTTTCGTATCTGCGTAAAAGATCATTTTTGCTCCCGCGCGCTTATCTACGATTTTCCCCGGGTTAATCGACATCGCGAGAGCCTCCCGGAGCCCTCCCTGTCCCCGGGGCTCTCGGGAGACGTAAAGACGACGCTGGGGCAAGGGGCGATCAGGGAGGAATACGCGGACGTTTGCTCTTTTTCAGGAAAACGACTCCGTGAACGATGGTATCCTCGACAGTGGCGGAAGCGAGCCCGGTGAAACAATCGTGCGGCGCGATGGGCATCGCGCCGGGAGATTATTGCCTGGTCGGCTGGGACATGGACACCACCGGCAAGAAGGTCATCGACGAGATCTGCCAAATAGCCGGGTACACCCCTAACGCCACTTACTCGCAATACGTGATGCCGTACAAGGATCTCAATCCGACCGCCATAAAGCGCCACAGTATGAAGGTCGTGACCAATGGCAAATTCCGCGTGCTCAGGAACAGCAAGACCAACGAGGTACGAGGCAAGGTCGCGATACCAAATACCGTTGCCCCGCGATTTCGTTTCCCGTACCCGAGGGACGGAGAATTCCCCTTTTAATGTTTCAGAAAGACGCACGTTTTCTCACATCTCGAGTTGTATCTAAGCAAGGCTGGGAAAGTTACTTCATTAAAGTATCTAGTTGCAGTTTTTTCGCTAAAAATGCAACTGGTTACAAGCTACCCATTCTGAAAAGTAACGCGTTACAGTTACTCAAAATTTAACGGATCGTTACTTTGCAGTTACTCTCTTGCAATGAAAATAAAAATATGAAATTTGCATTTGAATTGTAAAGCATAGATAAAGGCGTTTGTGCGCAGATGCGAGGCCTAATGCGGTCTGTGGAGGTTTAGAAAAATATGTAAAGTAAATTAATGTAACTATTAAATTAGCTACTGGTTTTCGAAAAAAATGTAACTAAGTTAAGTTACAGTTACAGACGGAGAGAAAATAACGAAGTTAAGTTAGAGTTACCAAAAAAGTAACTGTAACGAGTTACTTCCCAACCCTGTAAGTTGTCACAATTTTTTTTTAATTGTTACCTCGAGCGTTTTATAATAAAACGCAGATGTGAGAGAAATCGTTTCTAATCTTTTGCGCGCGTAAAAGAAACATACATATATTGAATATTTATAAAATATTAACGTGATGTATGAAACATTTCTTCTCGCAGGTAATCAAATCCAAGAGCGAAGTATCGGCACTTACGGAGTTTCTGAGCTGGTTAGAGACCGTGAAGGAAAACGCCGCGGACGGTGTAATTTTGGTCTATCACGAGCCGCGCAAAGTCATTCCCGCGATGCTGCTCGAGTCGCTGAAGAAGTACGATCTGGTCGATCGATTCAAGCAGACGGTCAAGGGATTCGCGAACGGATTCAACATCGCCGAGGATAAATGCGCCAACTCGGCGCACATCTATTCCCTTCGTACTTTATCGCGCACTCTGTTAAAGAAGGTGAGAAAAATGTGTACATACCGATTGCAAACTTGACGGGATTTAACAAAACGGACTGAACCGTTCGAAATGTCTTTTTTTCTATTCTAAAACGGAGAACTCAATCCTGAATAAATATTCATTGTTTGAGAGAAATTTGTCTATCAAAGTTTCATTTGCTAAATATTTGCGAAAATCGATAGCTCCTGATTTATGTAATGCTATAGATGTGTTTCGCGAAAGGATATAATAGCGATACATAAATTTCACGCACGATGACAAAATATTTTTGAATATACCTGAAGGAGGCGAATCTGGGCAATGCGCAACACAGAGCGTCGCTGGCGTTGCAAATAGCACAATACTTGTGCTCGATCGACGGCGACAAGACGGAAGATGCGAGCGAGAACGAAGAGAGCGATGAAAAACGTATGAAAAGAGCGGTCGAGGTTATTCGAGAATTCGCGCAACCTGTTGACGTCGAGGAGCAGGAACACAACGGTATGTGTATTATTGAACGTGCGTCGACTCGCGTAATTTCATATTCGTCGTTTTTACATTTCCCTGTCGAAGTAATCTTAGTGGTTTTGCCATTAGGCCGTTCGACAAGCAACTTGGCGTTCTTTAAAAGGATTTGAAAGGACGAAATTTATATTCATTAATTTAATGTTTACGCAAAATGTACTCGCCGCTTTGATACCTTTTTGAAGTCAGTTTTACATTCCATTTCGACAAACATGTTAAAATGTTACAACAATTGTTTGGTGTCACAGGATGGGCCAAAAGGTTGTAGAATTACTATAAAAGTAACAAATTTATTTTATCTGTTACTGTTATAATAAATCTACAACCTTTTGGCTCGTCTAATATATTGGCCGTGACACCAAACGACTGTTATTACTAAAAAACGAATTTGATTGTTTGACTTCTTTTTAATTAGAATGTCACGTTTAATATAAATAAAATTGTCGGGCGCAGCAATGCATAATTACTAGTAAAGTATATATTGTACTACAGACTTTTCGACGAAGCTCTGATTATATAATTCTGCCTCGGAAAAATTCATCAGATAAATTTAGGACGATACTTTACGTCGTCATTATTATTACGTTTAGTTGCATCCCGTGTTGTTTTACTCCCACAAGTTTTGTAAATAGTTTAAACTCGGCCAAATTTGTCGTAACTTGAGAGCCAAGTTGGCGAGAGGCGCGAGCGAGCACCGGGATGAAAAGCCATTGCGACGTGTAACTTTTGTTGCAGAGCTGAAGATGATATTCGAGCGGCAGAACAACTTGCGGCCCATATTCAGCGCACTGTTCCGTATGAACCGCCGTGAACGTCAACACGCCAGTCCCCTACGGCGACTGTTGGCTGAAGCCGGGATCGTGTACGCGGAGCTACAGGTGAGTGTGTTTACACATGCTTAATTAGGCTATTGATAATCAGGCCCGTTTATGCCGCGAGACGTTTCCGCCTTTTTTTTCCTGATTCCGGTTTAAAACGTTAAACTTGTCATCGAGGTGTCACCCGGGAACGAGGTGTCGCTCAGTTTAGGGGCTTCGAATTGATAGATCGCTGAATCGAGAGAAACACTTCAATTCGCGTCACGCTCGGCAGACCGCAAATTTTTTTGCGGCCGGATAATCACGTTAAAAGACTGCGCACGCGTTTGTTCTTGAAAAACGAGCCATGATGATCCTCTGCAGATAGCAGGAAGAAAGCAGTAAATTTCCGGGGAAAAAAACATTAGAGTTTCAGACATAGTTTGCATAAAACTCTATTATACTTTCTTATATAATTTTCTACAAAGCACAAATAAATATGTATTTGCTGATTGACTCTGGAGGAATATTTCAAACTAGTTTCAATCTACGAAATGAGTTTTAGCTTGGCAACACCCGACGATTTACGGTCAAACGAGCCGGTTTTTTTTTAATCCGCGGAAACGCGCACGTTTCAGGACGCGTGGACCAACGCGAAGAAGGACGGGCTGGAGCATCTGATGAAGGAGAAACTGCCGACGGTCGAGGAGAAAAAGATGGAGGACCTGATGGTCATCCTCGAGCGCCACTTCGACCCGGAGAAGAAGCCGAAGAGCAAGGTGCCGGAGAAGAAGGGCCTTAAGATAAAGAACGAGAAGAAGATAAGCGACGACAAGGAGAACAACAACAAGAGCGACTCGGGCCACGACAGCCCCGACAGCCCCGACACCACGACGTCCGGGTCGCCGGTCAAAATGAACGGCGACGACATCGACATCGAGATCAAGTCGGAGGCGGCGTGCGCTTTGACGCCGGAGGAGTGCGCCGAACGCGTTTAACGATGCTGACGAACTTCTTCCCTCCGACCTCTTTTTTTTTCTTTTTTTTCCCCCTACGCGCCGCAGGGCGGGAGCACTCTTCGCGGCCGTCCGCGAACTCCTCCCCGTCGCCTCGTTGCCAACCGGGCGTACGTGGGGTCCTTTTCCCTCCTGTTTTTTTTTCTTTTTGTTGCCATAACGGTCGCGGATAATGAGAAATAAAATTGACGACGTGTAACGCGGGTGACGAACGTAGATTTAGCGTGTCAAATACAGTTCGCGTTTAGCCGGACTCTACAGTAAAAGCGTGCTGTATGTTGGAGTTACCACGCTACATTTACGCTCCACGACCGGACAGAGCCGCGAAGGGATCCCCGGTTTCTCCTATTTTTTTTTCTTTTTGCGGTAATTCTAAGATAGACGTATTTAGGATATAGGTTTACGATTCGTCCGACGGGCGATGTTGTGCGTGATAAAAGACGAGTGTTATTTGTTACAGTATTGCACATCTTTCTTTCCTTCCTCTTCCCTCCCCTCCCCCTCCCCCCCAACCTTTCGTTTCCCTTCACTCTTGGGTATTTTTTTTTAATTCTTGTTCGCACTGGTACGCCGGCACGATTAAAAAAAAAAAAGAAAGAGAGATTTCCCCGCCGTGTTCGAATTTAACCGAAATGTACAAATAACACGTTAAGCGACGTTTAAGTTTGTTACGCGCGCAGAGATATTTAATATCGTTTAATAATTTTATACTCGTTTGTTTTCTCTCCTTTCTACCCCCTCGCCCTTTGTTCCCTTCTCTTCTTTTTATTTATCCCGAGGATTCGTACGCTCGCCACTCTCCGGCGAGAGCGTCCGTTTAATAGACTGCTGTAAGTGTGAAAGGCATAGGAAATATCGCGGACCCGCGCGCTACCGCGCGCGCAGTTCACGATGTGTACAGTCGTGTGCACGATATTTTCTACTTTTTACCGTTTAAGTCGCGCGTGAGACGCAGTGTGTATGTGTGTGGTAGTATTAGAGAGATATATTTTTGTATCGATGATATAATTTCGTTTCTGCTGTGAGATCTCATTGTATGAACATTGATTAATAAAGAGTTTAGTTGTAGCCGTTTTATACGCGTTTATAAACGCGCGAGAACCCGGTTTCTCGCGTCCGCCGTTCGCGCGCGATATAAATACAGTACTTTTGCTAAATTAAACCACGATATCTGTACCTCGCGCCTCAGCTCCGGCGGCGAGCCCGTTCGGTTTTGAGTTTTATTTATTTTGCGTGAACGAAAAATCGTACGGATTCCGCCCTTTTGCGACGCATTCTGTCTAGATTCGGTGAAAAATCGAACAGCTGGGGCGCTTGGCATTAAATATAGAACGCGCGGACACGCCCGGGCGTAAATAAATGAGGCGTTTTCATAATTTCTTTGAATCAGACCGTAACGCGTGCGCATTTGCAACAATCAATGGTAATTATCATTAAAAATCGAGACGCTCGCGTGCTATGAAATCCCGGCCGCGGGTAGAAGCGGGCTCGAGATTCGAGTCTGGAGGAGTCGGCCCGGCGGAAGATTACACCTTGCGCCGGCACCTGCATAATGCCGGGACGTGATTTATTTCCGCGGCGCTTATTAATTGCGACGAGCGCGGCGCGTTCACGGCGCGTGAACCGCGCGAAGGGGCGTTCGGTAAATAACGCGCCGGGCTTAAACGCTCGGTTCGGTAAAGTTCTTAATAAGCAAAAAAGTCGCCGGGGTTTAACGGGACTTGGCCGCGGAGGGAGGAAGGGCGTGAGGAGGGGATGAAAAGCGGCGGCGATCGCGAGCGCGGTTTTTCCGCGAGTCACCCGCGAGTTCCGCGGCTCGCGCGCGGGTCGGTCCTGGGAGAGAAAGCGGAAATGAATTAAATATGCGTGCGGACCGTTGCGCGCATCCGGTGCCGCGCGGATCTCCATTGCCGTATGCCAAAACGCCCCGAGGCGTGAACGGGCGAGGCTCCCGCGAGGAGGGAATTCCAGAAACGCTCTTTTTCTCCCCCCCGGTAAACGCCGGCGCGATTCCTCTTCCGCGGTCCTCCTTCTGGGGGCACGCGGCGGGATCAGATCCGATCGCGGCGCGCTCGGCTAGAAAATTGGGTTTTTCCAACGCGCGCCGATTAGACGGGGTACCGTCCTGTGACTTCGCGCGCGGCTTTTTCTCTCCCCCTCTTGCCCCCCCCCCTCTCCCCGATATCGTGGCATACGTGTAACTGCGAGCTTGGGGGAAGAAAAAAATCCCACGTGTACCGGAAGACCAGGCTTTCATTCCGGTGTTCGAGCATCAATCGAAGTACACGTCGATACCTTCGGCCGCGTACAAACAGAGTTTACGTGACGACGTGATGGTCGAATAATAATTTGCGCGACGCGGAAAATCGCGGTTGTTCTTTCGTTGTTAAAGCTGTACGAAAACTTGATTTTAGAGCACATTGTAGATTAAGAGGATCCTTTAGCGATACAGTCAAGTACCCCAGAGAACAAGCATGTCTAAAAGACGTCTTTTAGACATGCATGTTCTCTGGGATAGTTTTTGCGCTTGTAATTCTTTTTATTAGCTTTTATGCACAAAATCATACCAGGATAAGTTGCGAACCGTATAGCAGAACATTTTCATACTTGAAACACTCAGTTCAGAAGTCAAATAAAAAAGATATTGGTATTTGAAATTTTCACTTCGTAGCTCTAACTAAATTTGAAATTGGCTTTATAACATTGCAAAATTCTTCCAGGTAACCTCAATCATTTATAAAGAAATTCTCTTCGTCTTTTTTAAATATAAAGTTGACTGTCCCTGGTTTTGCCTTTATGCGTACTTTAATCGTGTGGGAGAATTTTGCAATTTTACAAAGCCAATTTAGTTAAAACTACGAATTGAAACTTTCAAATACCGATATCTTTTTTATTAGACTTCTGAACTGGGTGTTTTAAGTACGAAAATGTTCTACTACGCAATCTCCGCAACTTATCTAGATATTATTTTGTGCACAAAAGCTAATGAAAAGAATCACATGCGCAAAAACTATATTTGACCGTGCCGGTAGAAGAAAGATGGCTAAGGGATCCTCTCGAGCCTCGGCATTTCCACAACATCGTAGGGCACAGAATCGATGCCCAGGCTATTTCTTTCATGCCAAAGTCTTTTTAGACAATTTGTGATGACGACGAATAGAGAAACGACGATATTGCTGACGATTGTCACGCTGTTTCAGAGTAGCGATGTACCTTCACGAGCGAGACGCGCACTCCGAGATATGGTCCGGCGATGCTGCTGCCAGCGGGACACCATCCTGCGGACGGAAGCGCCCTCGAGAAGGAGCTCTGTCACATCCGGAAATCAGCGGTAACCCGGCGGAGCGTGAAATGTCGACTTTTATCATCGCCCTTCGATGGCTGAGCGAACCCGTTCAGTAATGATATAATAGTAGTAGCCGGGACACACTTCCAGGGACTAGGGACGAAGCGCAACACATGGAATTCACGGAGAATCCCGTAACGTAGCAGTTCCATAAATCATACGTTTGCATTTAAGACACGGTGGTACTACGAGCTACGAATAAAATTGTCTTCGACTCTGTCTTTATACAATAGTAACGACGACGTTATTATGCGCTGCGTATAACAGGAAATAATAGCAGCGAATAGTTAAAGCGAGCATTATTACAAATTACAACAAATTATCATTATTAACTATATAAATTATTATTATTAATTCTATAATTCACATTTGCAATCGTTTTAACTCAAGTTTCACTTTATTAGTAATATAATTACTAGCATTATTATATTAAATTATTATTATTAATTCATTATTTGGTTATTATTAATATATTAATTGGAATAGGATGAAGAAGAGTGTGGAAAAGAGTTAAAAAATTTTACGGTGGATAATGAGAACGCATTAAAATTTTGCTGTACGGTAAAGAGGCAAAGGGAACCGATGGCGGGGACGAATAAGTGTAATGGTTTCCGTTGAAATGAAACAAATTACAAAGACACGAAAATGTATATAGCAGTTTTTGTACACTTCTGGAATCCATCTGTTAATTTTGCCCTCGGCCGACGGCCATTTCTGTACCTGACGTACTCTTTTAATTCGATAGATGCTTTTTGGGGGGGATTTTCAATGTAAACCGTGTTCCTGGAGAACTCTCTTCAAATACAATTAAAAAACTTGGCAAATAAGACTCCCAGTTTCCGTGCAGCTTGCAAAATTTGCCTTTGTGTCTCTTACACCAGATCTGATCGACGAGTACCGGAACGCCGGGGATGAAAATAAATGACACATCTCCGAAGTCGAGGGGCGCACCGCGCGCGTAAAGCGGATGTGAATTTCGGACGATTAATCTCGGACGTGATTACGATCGCATAATTTCGCTATTGCTCCGCTCGGAGCGGATTATCGACATAGACGTTAACGTTAATTGGAGGGTTTTAGGATTAACGCATTTGATATTAATAATTGAATCTACGGAGGATTTCCGCGGGAGCATCGCGGAATTAGCGAAAACCTGCACATTAACATGTGTTACACGCAAGAGCGAATCATTATTAACGGCAGCGGTGTCCGTATGCGGCGCATGTTATCTCAATTAACGATGATGCGAGTAACGAAACTACTCGTACGCGATGATGCGCGGCGCGAAAAGAAATTGAGAAAACGAGCGCGCGAGAGATTCCAACCCCCCCCCCCCCCGTCCCCCGGGCCCGTCGGTGCGCGCGTAATATAACCGATAGGTAATTAGCATACTACTGTGTTTTTCTTACGCTCATTTACTCAGAGTCATTATTGCGCAATGCTTACGGCCCGCCTTCCCTCGTAATTTTGCACGCACTCGTGTGCAATTGTGCAGTCTAGGATGCAAATTTCCTTTAGAGAAAATTATATCGCGCGCCCGCAATTACACACGTGCACTGGGTGTCTTCGACGAACGCTAATCGGCAGTTTGTAGCGAGCCCTCTTATTTAACGTTAGAAATAAACGAACCGCCAAAGCCACGGCATTTCCCCGTTATTACATTAATTTAACAATTGAGAAAACGCTGGTTGCTGGGCTGAGAAAAAAGCGGCGAGCAGAAACGCCGCTTTAAGAAGAATGTCTCCATTTTCTCATACAAAGCAATTCAAATCGCTGCATTAACAACTAGGGATTGTTTGAGCTTCCAAGTATTATTCGCCGATTAAATAAATATTTCGAATCCCAGTTTCTTTCGATAGAATCTTACGCTCCCTCTTTTCCACAACTTTCAATTTTCATGTATAAAAATTGTAAAAATTATCGATTACATTAATTTAATGATTGAGAAAATGTTGGTTGCTGGGCTGAGAAAAAAAGTGGCGAGCAGAAACGCCGCCTTTAAGAAGAATGTCTCCATTTTCTCATACAAAGCAATTCAAATCGCTGCATTAACAACTAGGGATTGTTTGAGCTTCCAAGTATTATTCGCCGATTAAATAAATATTTCGAATCCCAGTTTCTTTCGAGATAGAATCTTACGCTCCCTCTTTTCCACAACTTTCAATTTTCATGTATAAAAATTGTAAAAATTATCGATTACATTAATTTAATGATTGAAAATGTTGGTTGCTGGGCTGAGAAAAAAAGTGGCGAGCAGAAACGCCGCTTTAAGAAGAATGTCTCCATTTTCTCATACAAAGCAATTCAAATCGCTGCATTAACAACTAGGGATTGTTTGAGCTTCCAAGTATTATTCGCCGATTAAATAAATATTGCGAATCCCAGTTTCTTTCGAGATAGAATTTTACGCTCCCTCTTTTCCGCGACTTTTAATTTTTATTCATAAAAATTGTAAAAGTTGTCGATCCGTGCGAAGCTGTCATCAGTTTGAACTTTACTCCTCCGCTCGCGACCTACGAAAATAATAGAGAACGCAGCGTGAACGTAGGTAGCTTGTAAATAAAATATCCGGATACGCCGACGCGTTTGTCGATACCCCTCGATACGTCCCTACGGACTTAATCCGCTCGCGTGCGGACGCGATTATCGGGCGATCGCCCTTCATCCTGTCTAATTTCTTTTCGCGAACGGCCGAGCGTGGCGAGCAAAATAGCTGCGGCTCTCGTATCGCGATCGCCGCTGCTGTAACAGGCGGCGCGAAGGAAATTGCCGCGTCCGAGGGCTGCCTTAATTGATAATAATGCGCGCGCAGCGCCGAAGCTATCGGGATAATTAATGATACGCTGGCTAACCGCCGCCACGTCACGCGGCCGTACCCCGCTTTCGTTGCTTCGCTCCGACAGCCTAATGAAGGGGAAGAGAGATGAGACGAGACAATATCGCGACTCGCGCCGCGGCGTCTCCCGCAGATAGACCGTATCTCTTTGTCGTGCGGATGGGCTGGAATAAAAAACATTTGCCGCATGCTTCGTTTTATCTTTCATCATTTCAATTTGGACCAGTTTGGACTATAAGTACGTATCGATTTATTACGTGTCGAGTTATCTCGCTCGCGACTACCAAAGCGATATCCGATAGTACGTTCCACTATTTTTATGCAAATACGAGTGAGATAAAGAGCGACCGCAAGATGTCCCCCAATTTTTCACATTCGAATCTGTCGTGTTTGTGAGACAATGGGCCTCGGAGATCCCGTGGCCAGCATGGCGCCGTTGAAAGTCAATTCTGTAACCAAATTGAGTGAGGCTTATCGCCAGTGGTAATTAAACAAAGGGAAACATTGTTTTTAAAGTCGATCAGACTGGCAAAAAAAATGATCTTTATTTAAGTCACAACGTTTCGACCTCTTTATCGAGTCCTTTTCAAGTACAATCTGGAAACAAATTTCCAAATTTTTTTATCGGATCCTTGTCAAGTACAATCTGGAAACGAATTTCCAAATTTTTGATCGGGTCCTTGTCAAGTACAATCTGGAAACAAATTTCCAAATTTTTGATCGGGTCCTTTTCAAGTACAATCTGGAAACGAATTTCAAAACTACTTTTAAAATTTTTCCTTTGCTCAATTCTGAGACACAAGAATTGCTGTTTTCTCGCGAATGAGGAGGTACGCATTGACATTTTCGTGATCAGTTAAGCGAGATTCGATAAACGTGACCACAAATTCGAGAAAAAATTTGGGAACCTGGCTTAAAGGCACTTCCGGTCACTCTTCAGTGAAAAATAAACAGTGAATTTACTGATTACGTGATATTTGATTTATAGTTTTAATAAAAAATATTACTTTTCAGTTGTTTGTTGAAAAGCCAGAATAAACTAGGTTAAATTTTCAAAATTTACGCCCGGGAATATTTCAGAACGTGGAGCACCTGTGTACACATATGTACGATGTTACATGCAAGACTAAGTTAGCTCGGGTGGTCGTTTTAAATCCGACCGTTGATTGCAAGTTTTTTTTCTTAATTCTGCGAGCTAGTTAATTGTTGAAATAATAGCAAACACAAATATTGAACGTCATATTAATTTTGCAAATTATTATTAATCCAAGTAATTATTATTTATTGAAATGAGAATATCTCTCTAAATTTCAAATAAACCGGCGCCATCGCGTTGTCCAATTAGCCGAAGTTCTTCCTAATGTCCTACATAAGTTTTGAATTGCGATAACTGAGCGCTATAATCTCAAACCTTAGATTGCGCTTACAATTGTATAATGGAGGCTTAATGCGCGGCCTTCAAGATATTTTGTTAAATTGCCCGGTCCCGGGCTCATTTGAAAATAAAATAGCTCACTTATTTTAACGATCGAAAAGAAGTACGGCAATGATATTTCATGAGCGTGAAAATTGAATTGAACTCACCGCGGAATTATCGCGGTTCTGCGAAAAATAGGTAGGCTAAAGGAGCTTTCCTTTTGAGATACAAACTTGAAATGGTGAAAATCCTTTTTGTCGAAACTTTATCATTTATACCTGTTATTCGTCCGTTATTTTTCGGCGGCTACGAAGGAAGGAAATGAATTGTTTACGTACGCGAGTAAACGCGTACTGCGCAAAATGCGGAAAGTGGAGTGATCAATAAACGTATTTATTTACGCTGCAAATTGTGGTATCGAAAACGGTTGTTGTTCGTATGTACGGTCGCAACCGCTGCACGCTTTTACACTGATTAATCTAATAGTTGATAGGCACGTACGAGACTCGACGTCAACTTTGACGGCGATGCCGCAGCGATATGAGTAAATCAAACGCTTTGTTGGCCGTGCTGTGCAAATGTTATTTGCTCAGATAAATAATTAATTAATTAAGAAAATATTACAGCGGGGCGAGTACTTGGTTACCGATAAGGAGAGGGGCTATTTCAGTCAGTTGAAGATCGAATGAAAAATTGTCGAAACATCTGAAAATCGTGGAAGGCCCACGGGGATGCTGTAGTGATTTTGCACTTTTGGCACATTTTGCTCCTAGAATTGTCAATTCGTGAAAACATTTGTGTAATACACAATTGTGTAATACACAAATTATGTGGCTTTTGTGTGCGCACCGACAGTGTTCCATCTAATCGGACTAAATCAG